TTATTAGTATTATTATTATTGTATTAACATTGTTATGACCAATAGTGTGTGCTACTTTACCTAGCAGCCTCGGGAAGAGCCTGTCGTGCAGCTGTTCCTGTGTTCTAGTCGTCTCACTGAACGCTGTTGCTTCCATACCTGCACATAGATTGGAGGTTGATTATTTTGTGAGATACAGCACACGTAGTTTGTTCATTTTATAAAACTCCACCAGACCATCATGAAGAAAATAATTGAAGGCATGATGTGGAAAATAAGGGCTAATGGTGGACATTATACAATGTGGACTGCCAGCATCAACGTATGGGCTGAGGCTAGGCCCACAGAGACAGCGAAGTGTGTAGGCTCAGGGCTGAGGTTAATATGATAAAAAGCACGAGAGCTGCTAGCGACCGTATCAATATTGCAGGTCGTAACACGTCAACCTCTGAGCAAGAGATGGCACTTCAAAGATGAGGATTCTGTTTTGTCTTACCTCAGTCACCTTTAAATCAATATTTCCAAACAAATTTTCAGCACCAGCGTCTGCGGTTTAGCGGTTATGTGCTTCGCTGTCGCACGCAGAACACGTAAGTTAGAATACCATTTGGGGAGTTTTTTTCTCCACCTGTCTGTTGTGGCGTTATATCTCTTTCAATCCTGGCTGGCCCGGATATGCAGGATCGAAGCAGTCCGCCCCCTAAAGAGTCTTCTTTATGTCGATGGGGGCGTAAAACACGTACTCTTACAGTCAAATTGCAGATATAATTACAATTACAATTACAATGACAATTAAAGTCACAGTTGCAGTTACAATTACAGTTACACTTGCTAAGAAACCTTTTAGCTTCAATGTAGACCTATGTAAATCGTAGTGTGAGGTATTTTGTTAGGATTAAAGTTGAGAGTGTGTCGGTGACTGATTAAAATTTCAGAAGAGGACAATGAGCTCTTTCTCTTGGCAATAGAAGTAAGATTTAAATGGTTTTTGTTTACCAAAAATCCAACATCACCACCAACAACAACAATAAAAAAAAATTTTTTTGTTAAAACAAATGTAAGAACCCCCTCCAGCGGCATCACAATACTAGCAAAGCAAACAATCATTGGAACAATAAAGGCTTCTGATTTCTAAAACATCATCAGTTGACTATTTGGGTTTTTCTGTCTAATTCATGTACACGTATTGCGTCCTCTCAATAGTGAAACTTACCTAGGATGTTTTCAGGATCTTTTAGTTGGGGACAATTTTTTTGTATGTCTTGACCGCATTTTTCCCCTTCCGTGACCGGCTGGCCAGACCTTCTCTCGGCGATGTTGTCATAGAAACGTGCAGCAGAGTACATGAAAGCTTTCTTCGTATCTGAGACAAAGGGAAATGCCGAAGGTGTGAGAGCGTGGACATTTCAACATACCCCCGCTCCCCACACTTGCCTCATGCCACCGCACCGCACGCGTACAATTTGGAAATTTATCTCAAACCGTAAACTACCGAAGTCTCCATGTGACGTTTCAAAATTGAAGAAAACAGTGAGTGTCTGTATTATCGATAAACGTCTCATAAATGCTAACCACTCCCCTCCTCACTC